CACACACACACACACACACACACACACACACACACACACACACACACACACGCACACACACCCACACACACACCCACACACAGGCCAGAAGCTAGCCGTCCATCGGAAAAATATAACAGTGTTGCCCTTACATTTCCAAAATGAACATGGATAAGATGGATACATGGATTGAAGGTACAGAAGCCGGGTACATAGATTGACATTTGATGACTAGTTTAAACAAGGTCATTTGAGCAAAAAATTTCCTGGTTGCTATTCAGGAACTTACATTTTTATTGTTTCGGTAAACCTTTATTAGAAAAGAATTCGCGGCACGGCATTTGTGATGTTTACTAGGCGTGCCGAGTATGATTCCTGGTATCTATATCTTATTCGATTTCATAAAAATAAAATAATTGGACCAAATATCTCTGCCAATCTGTTATACTACTAGAAAACGGTACAAATGATTATATTCAATACTAATTAGATATAGCTCTCTCGCCACTTCAACTATATTCTCCACCTACTGCCTCGTGCGTGTATACAGACCAACACAACACGCGCGCGCATACATGAACACGCACACGCACATACACACGCACGCACGCACGCCCACGCACGCACACACACGCACAACATTTGGTGGTTGAATTGATTTTCTATTGATTTCCGTCGCAAAAACTGTATCCAACCAAGAACTGCGCATTTGTTACGAATCATTGTTAAGAATTGCCCGCGGTTGTTTAAATTAGTTCTTAGAACACCGAGAACAATGATGGCATAAATTTACACTCACCCGTGAAGTGATTTGCTGTTTGACCGTCACACCACCAGTCACGAGGGTTATTCTAATTTAGCTTCGACCGAGGGTCGAGTTTGAAACTAATATATTATCAACTAACATCTGTATGAAAGGAATCCTTCTGTCTCACTCGAGTACGAACCATCTAAACTGTTGTCCTGACACATAAATTTAGAGCCGTCACATATCGTGTAGGAAATTATTCATCAACTAGGTATTTGCACTTTGGTTCCAAGAGACGTCATGATATTTCCCCGCACCTCATTTGTATATGGCTACTGATGTTGACAATAAACGGAGAGATTCGATATTCTAGGCTAGATAAAGTAAGCAAATATTGTTGACACAACCTATAACGCTATCTGTTTTGTCTGATCAAATAACGCAATTACTAGCACTTGCTACTGACAATGTATAATAGTTTACCCGTATTGCCTATTTCGTCCCCGAAAAATTGTTCAATGAACTTCATAACCAATGCTAGGTATTCAATAATTTGATAATTACCGACCAAATATGTTTTTAGAAATGTCTTCATATGTGCAATACTACGTAGATAGAATCGGTTTGAACTTTGGCCTTGACGTGGTCCAGTGGCAAAACCCTCTTAGGTCCCT